ATGCTCTGTATCATAAATAAAATGAATAAGCTTTAAAACAGAAAAATTATTAATTAAAGTTTATAAAAGGGGTTTACATTAATTGTTAATAATACTAGAGAAATATTTGAATTTATTAACATGACCATATTTGTGCTCACATCAAAAATAATAAATAGAATATGTGACATCATGATGTCAATTACATTAAATTATATTTATACCTATATATATGCAGATCTGTTTATCTCTACTATAATTTAGTTATTCAGCTGAATATCTACCTATCTAATGATAACTGTCACTCCTTCAATACACTACTTTCTAATTGAGCTCAGACAATCAGAGACAAAACAGAAGTTTCCTACCTAAATCCAAGACACCCAAAGTTGTGGGGTGGAGTTTTGTGAGGATAGAATTACTAATGATGGTATTAAGTGATGAGAACTGCCACTGCACCTCCCCATTGCCATCCCCTCATTCATTATTTTTTAATTGTTTTTTGCCGTAGGGAGCATGCACTGATTGGAGATAGATAGAAAGAGGAAAAGTGTGAAATCGCCACCCTGGAAGGATGGCCATGCCACAGTCTCTTCTTCATTTTCCTCTTGGGATTTTGGGCATGTATGTACACACGCTTGGCATGATTTTCAAGCCTCTAGGTTTGGGACTCAGCCTGTGGTCAACCATGTGGGGGTCCAGATCTTTAACCACCATGTCATCTGCTGGCCCCACATGTTCATTTTTTAAGCCAGAGAATGCTGAGTGAGTCTTCATTTCTATGAGTGATTATAGTTCTAGTGTGGTCCTCCTGAGAAGTCCCAGCAAAAACGTCCTAGTGAAGACTATCCTAGAAGAGATGGCATGGAATGGTCCATGGGCCATCTTCTGGACCTGTTCTGCAGTGACTAACAAAAAGAAAACTTATGCCTGGCCTTGCTCAGGGAGGAAAATGCTACTTGGGAGAACACAACTGGTAGACTCCCGCATGTGGTTTGAATCCTGGACCCAATGGCTTGAAACATACCAGGTTATGTGTATGTGCATGCCCAAGATCTCGAGAGGAGAAGAAATTGCAGCATGATCATCCCCCAGGGTGTGATTTCTCACTTTCCCTCTCACTGTCTCTGTCTCTCTTTCTCTCTGGTGAGTGCACATGCTCTAAGCAAAAGCAAAAACAAAACAAAATAAAAACAAAACAAAAACTCTAAAAAAATGTAGCATTTCTGCAAAGTTCTTCATGTAAATTCCTAGGATCCTGTTCCTCCTGGGTTTGAAGCCTTAATGGTGTCACAGCTATCTTGCTCTGCATATTTTTTTCTATTCTCCTTCCATTTAAGATCTCCATGAAAAAAAACTCTCAAAGTAATAAATGCATACAGTAGAGTGGCAGGATACAAAATTAACTTGAAAAATCTATAGCATTTCTCTATACAAACAACAAGCAGACGGAGGCAGAACGTAAGAAAATAATTCCATTTACCATAGCCACAAAAAGTATAAGACACTTAGGAATAAAACTAACCAAGGAAGTCAAAGACCACTATAAGAAAAACTATGAAAATCTTAAAAAAGAAATTGAAAATGGCACAATGAAGTGGAAGGAGGGACCAGCAGATGACATAATGGCTATGTCACCAGACTCCCATGTAGTAGACCGTGGTTTGAGTGTTTCTGTGCATGCCTAACTTTATGGATTGATGGGTCAGGTGATAAATTGCAGTTCATAATAGGAGGTTCTTCATTTTCCTCTTGGGATTTTGGGCATGTATGTACACACGCTTGGCATGATTTTCAAGCCTCTAGGTTTGGGACTCAGCCTGTGGTCAACCATGTGGGGGTCCAGATCTTTAACCACCATGTCATCTGCTGGCCCCACATGTTCATTTTTTAAGCCAGAGAATGCTGAGTGAGTCTTCATTTCTATGAGTGATTATAGTTCTAGTGTGGTCCTCCTGAGAAGTCCCAGCAAAAACGTCCTAGTGAAGACTATCCTAGAAGAGATGGCATGGAATGGTCCATGGGCCATCTTCTGGACCTGTTCTGCAGTGACTAACAAAAAGAAAACTTATGCCTGGCCTTGCTCAGGGAGGAAAATGCTACTTGGGAGAACACAACTGGTAGACTCCCGCATGTGGTTTGAATCCTGGACCCAATGGCTTGAAACATACCAGGTTATGTGTATGTGCATGCCCAAGATCTCGAGAGGAGCTTGAAACATACCAGGTTATGTGTATGCGCATGCCCAAGATCTCGAGAGGAGAAGAAATTGCAGCATGATCATCCCCCAGGGTGTGATTTCTCAAGCAAAAGCAAAAACAAAACAAAATAAAAACAAAACAAAAACTCTAAAAAAATGTAGCATTTCTGCAAAGTTCTTCATGTAAATTCCTAGGATCCTGTTCCTCCTGGGTTTGAAGCCTTAATGGTGTCACAGCTATCTTGCTCTGCATATTTTTTTCTATTCTCCTTCCATTTAAGATCTCCATGAAAAAAAACTCTCAAAGTAATAAATGCATACAGTAGAGTGGCAGGATACAAAATTAACTTGAAAAATCTATAGCATTTCTCTATACAAACAACAAGCAGACGGAGGCAGAACGTAAGAAAATAATTCCATTTACCATAGCCACAAAAAGTATAAGACACTTAGGAATAAAACTAACCAAGGAAGTCAAAGACCACTATAAGAAAAACTATGAAAATCTTAAAAAAGAAATTGAAAATGGCACAATGAAGTGGAAGGAGGGACCAGCAGATGACATAATGGCTATGTCACCAGACTCCCATGTAGTAGACCGTGGTTTGAGTGTTTCTGTGCATGCCTAACTTTATGGATTGATGGGTCAGGTGATAAATTGCAGTTCATAATAGGAGGTGAGGATCCATGGTATGTATCCTGGTGATCCGCAGTTAAGCATTAAGTTTATGCCAAGGGTCAGATAAAAACCAAAAAATATTTCTAAACAAGAATTGTGGCCCAGGCTTGTTGTCACTCAGAGAGCGCCCAGTTGTGGTTCTTATCCTGGACTTGGCAGCTTAAAACTCACTGACCAGGTGCATATGGGTGCGTGCCCAAAATCCTTAGAGATTGGAGGAGAGGGGATTGTGCCATCACAAATTCGGGGTGATTTCTCACTGTGTCTCTGTCTCTTCTTTCTCTGTCTCTCCAGCAAGTGCACATGACCGATAGCAAAAAAATCTCTTTCAAAAAAAAAAAATGTGAGGCTCACCAGAGCAAACAAAATACTTGGCTTCCATTATTGAGAAGTCCCACAATTGAACTTCTGACCCTATTGTATTACTGTGCATAACAGATTTGAAATTTTATTTTGAAAAAGAGAAAAAAGATGTTTAATAAAGTAGAATTACAGAAAAATATGGAAAAATTAAGACTAGGCAAATATAAAGTTGATAAAAACTTTTTTCTATTTGTAAAACTTTATTTTAAATTAAAAAGATAACAACATTATAATTGTTTAGATAAGTTAGTCTAGTTTTTAAAGCATAATAAGGAAAATAGTCTTGAAAGTAAACTAATATGTATTCTTGAAGATCATTTAACTTAGTCACAGAGAAAGGACCAAAAATCAGTACAAAGTACATTGGATTATTGCCAGAAATCATAGAAGTTACTATAATCATTATGCCATTTAATTTTCACAGTGCTACTTTAGGTTAAGTTTCATTCTTGTTATTATTATTTTTTAATATATCTCAAGAGCAGATTTGGAATAGTCATGCTATTGAAGACAGAGACCTAACAAATAAGAACTATGCAAAGCAAATCTTAATTCCCAAGGTTCAATTTGTCACAGGAGTTTTTGTTTTTGTTTTTTTTAGTGATTAGTAAACCAGTCATTTAGTTTGTATGTGTATATATATATATGTGTGTGTGTGTGTGTGTATGTATAATATTTCTTTTTTTGTGTGTGTGTTTTATTTAGTAGAGGGTGAGTGTGCTTTCAAGGTGGGGGCCAGGGGAAATAACAACTTCCAAAGAAGTATGGCCATGTTGTATGCTGAAATCCTTTCTGTTTTTTATTTTTCTATCTCTTCAGGATTTGAGGCATGCATTTGCATACAAAAGGCATATAAGACTTTTTAAGTTGAGAAACTTAGATATATACTTTATATTTAATGAATTCATTTTCTCACAGTGATTTAAAGTATTAGATAAATGTTTTAATCCAAAATTATTTAAAAGAAAAAAAAACAGAGTCATTTAAATGTTATTTTAAAGTATACTGCTGGGCCAGCAAGTGACATTGTGGCTAAAGCACTGGATCCCACATCATTGATTCTGGGTTCAAGTCCTGAACCCAACGGCTTGAAAGTCATGTCAGACACATGTGTGTGTGCATGCCCAGAACACCAAGAGGGAACTGGAGAAGAAGGGATTTTGGTGTGGCCAAAATAAATAAAGTTCTGTTCTAATGCATATAAAATATTGGGAAGAATATAGAGCAAAGCAATTTTCAGATCTAATTTATGAGTGAAACACATTCAAGTGGAAAGAAGGGAGACAGCACAGAAAACATGCTTAACATGGTGCAGATGAGCTCAGGTGCAGGAGCTGCAACCACAGCAAGCACACTGCACATAGGTGGGTGAGGGTGTAAGAAGCTTCAGGAACCTGGAGAGCACAGAATCATGGGAACTTCACATTTCATAGGATTGAAATATGGGAAAACTTCCTGAGAAAAGCGACATGTAGAGAATTTATAGATGAGAAACCTGCGGTTTGTGACATTGAAAAATGAGACAGTGCCGGCCTCATAGTCTATGAAAACCCCAACACGACAAAGAGAAACTGTCAAGGAGAGGGTAAAGATCAAGGGATCAGAAGAGGCAGACTCCTCAAAAGCCTTATATTCAGATCGATTCTGTAACCCTATAACCCAGTAGCCATATTTGGGCTGATAATTTTTAACTTGCTGCATACCAGACGTTACACTGGAAGTGGGACAAGTTCCCAAACATACTCCCAGGACCCAGGCACGTTTGTTGGACACATTTACCTCCCAGTAATGTTTTCCTGTTGTGATACCAGGGGAGCCCAGAATCCCACTGTAAGGACAGTTATCATTGGAATATGAAAAATTTGATGTCCAAGTACTTGACCGATATCTCACTTGTTTTCGATCTCCAGAAATAAAAATATGCGGATTGTTGCTTGAAGTCAGTGTCACGTTAACTGTGGGAAAATGACAGGATTGGGTGAGTGATACAATGTAGCTTTATTTGTGGTATTATTAGAAGAATGTTGACAAGAACTTTACAGAGAAATGGGAAGAAATTTGTTCAGGGGTCATAAGAAAAGATAAGTATAAATGTCTTGGGAAGAGAAATATGAATCTTAAAATATGAGACCTAGTAGAGAACACAAAATCATAAAAGATGATGACAACAGAGTGGGTTATGATATCATGATTTTTCCTTACCCCAGTGGCATTGGACATCTGTCAGTCCTGTAATAATAAAAATGACCTTAAATACAAGTAAGGGAGTCAGCACAGAAATCTATTTCTTCTCCAGATTAGGAAAGAAGAGGGCATATGGTAAGGCAGTGGGCTGCTACATGAGAGGATGAACCAGGCACCTGTCCACTTCCATTATACATGACCACACAATCAACATGCAATCCCCATCCTCCCTATCGCCTTTATCTGTCCCTGGAGACAGCATCCTCTTCCCTCTTTAAGACCCTCCCACCTCTCAAATTCTACCACCACATACTTGATCAAAACCCTTCCTCACCTTTAAACATTTTAACCATCTGTCTCAGATTACAAACTTGAAACATTCTCCTTTGTTCTTTGCAAACCATTTTTGGCTTCTTTATGGTCAATACTTCACTCCTAGGAATAAAAAATGGTGGCCCTCAGACCTCTGAATTTGTGCACCTCGAATACTACTGACTTCCTGTTTTTACACCCTTTGGATGCACTTGAACCTGCGTCCCTGCAAATCCTGAAAAAGAAGGTGGATGACTCCTGACATTGAAGTCAGATGAAATCTGTTCAATGCACCTTCCTATTTACTCCCTGTGTGACCTTGGGAGGTCCTAATGCCTAAGAAGTAGTTTCTTCATTCTAAAATAAAAAATTTACATCTACCTCTCTACCTCTTAGAACATATAGGAAAAGAAAAAATAATAGACTCAAAAACAATCTTATAGAACTTTTAATACAAGCATTTAGCATGTAGAAATATCATTGCCATGGATGTGTATTTCAAGGGAGTTAGTCAAAAGTGACATTGCAGAGCCTGACTCCTCGGTGCTTGAGACCTATCAGTGTGGAAATCCTTTTTTTCTTTTTGAAGAGATTTTTGCTTTAGGACACATGCACTCTTTGGGGAGAGGGAGAGAAAGAGAGAGAGACAGAGACTATGAGAAGGAAAGTGAGGAATCACTCCCCTCCAGGGATGTGTGTGGCCATGCTGCAGTCTCTTCTCCTCTACTCTCCTCCTGGGATCTTGGGCATGCACACACACATGACTGGTGTGATTTTGAAGTTAGCGGGTCTGGGACTTGAACCACAGTGAGCCATGTGGGAGTCTAGGAATGTAACTGCTGTGCTGTCTGCTGGCCCAGTATGCAAATTATGTTAAGAAAGGACCAGAATTGTAAAATCCTGTTCCAAAGGATGCCTTCAGATAACATCTGAGCTTTAGGTTCTTTAGGAAAAATTACAAATATTGGAGATATTATGAACATCAAACAAATACTAGTCTGAATGTCATGTGATTGTAAAAACTTGGGTATGCAGTTTTAGATACAGAATGCCACCTTTCCATACTCTTCTGAAGTGCATGGCTGAGATAGATAAACTATTTTATTTTATTTTTTGGGGGAGAGGTTTTCACTATAGGGTGCATGTGCTTGCCAGACAGACAGAGAGAGATAGAAAGACAGAAAGTGAGAAATCACCCCCCAGGGGGGATGGTCACGCGCAATCCCTTCTCCTCCATTCTCCTCTCAGGATCTTGGGCACTCATACACATGTGCCCGGTGTGAGTTTTAAGTCACCGGGACACGAACCGCGGTTGACTCCGTGGGAGTACAGTGACATAGCTATTACGCTAACTGCTGGTTCCCAACTATTTGTGTCAGTGTAGCATATTATTTTGAGATTTGAATATGTTTTTGGAAATCTAAATAGAACCACAATGAAAGATGTAACCTCTACTGTTGCCAGGAGAAACATGTAACTACATAGAATTGTTCCAATGAAAAATTCTGTGTACTTAGCAGAGAAGGTATGTTTTTCCTACAATAATTCAAGCACCTATTTTTAAAAAAGATTAATTTAATTTTATTTGTTATTATTTTTATTATTTAATTTTAAAGAGAGATACAGAGAGAAAGAGAAAGGGAAAGTGAGAAAACAAGCTGCCAGGTCTGAGATTCAAACTGCACTCAGCCATGTGGGAGTTCAGTGCCTTAACCACCATGCCACCTGCTGGCCCCTGTCAAGCGTCTATTAAATACAGACCCAGAGCTAGATGCAGGCACACAAGATGAATAAAGTGGCAGATATGGGGGTTTGAAATTGCTACACTTTATCACTATTACCAGTCCTGACCCAAGTGTGTGACTCCTACTCCCCATCCAAACCTCCTACCATACAATAAGGTCTATTCTCTATAACTATGGAATACTCAACCCTACCATGTGCTCGGACATTGCAGATAACACTACTTCTCAGAAATATTTTTTTCTCCTAAACACTAATATTGAATATAATACTAATCTTAAATATAATACTAATATTGAAGTTATTAAATTTTTAATGGCTACAGATAACCCCTTACACGTGAAAAGGATCATTTTTAGTCTCTCACACATACCTTTTCAAGGCACCATTCACTTCCTAGGGAGCAGGAAGAAAACATGAAATATTAGTCTTCTCATTTACAAAAATTCATCACACTTCTATCACCCCTGATATGCTGACAATGGAGATGGTCCCAGTGTCGAAGGCAAAAAACAAAACAAAACGAAACAAAGCAAGAACCCAAAGATTCAGAAGATTCATGCCAGGCTGTTAGCTGCTCTAAAAGATAGAAACAACTTTGACCCTGTGGAAATACAGCAAGGGGCTTCCAAGATGTAGAGATGGGACTTATTTATAAGGAAAAGAAAAAAAGGCACATTTCTTCCCCCCAAAATAAGGTTGCATGCAAGATGATTTAAATAATTAATGGTCCTTTTATTTATTTGACAGATATGAAACTGACAGACAATTATTTACTAGGTGTTATACCAGGCTTTGGAGAATCAAAGATGACTAACTAATAGTCCTCAAGAGGGTACAGACATTTACACTTACCAAGTGCCTGTAGTTTTTTAGCTTCTTCTGATTTTCTACATTAATTTAACTAATGGCATCCATATCCCGACATGAAGCTAGAGTCACATGGTAGGCCTAGGTTTGCTTTCCAGAAACCGAATACACCAGTAACAGAAGCACATGCCTATAATCCTAGCTACTAGGAAGCTGCGGTGGGATGATCAATCATGATATGGCAAGATACAGTAGAAAATACCAATCTCTTCATCTCCCTCATAAATTTTTAAAAACCTAAACTTTAAAAAATAAATATTTATAAGGTGAGGTATACTTGATTAAAATGATACATTTATAAAATCTTAAGTAAAATAACAAAAGAAAATATTTATTAGAAGAGCTCATTAGCAGATAAAAATAGTGGAAGAAAGAATCATTGACCTGAAGGTAATGATTTCTACCCTGAAGGTAGAAGTTTTCTGCTTTAGAGATGAGAGCAGTGGCTTATGGCCAGAGCACGGTGCTGGGCTAGAAACAGCATGGTAGCTGAGTGGAAGACCAGGTTGTCCAAGATCCTGCTATGCATGAACTTCATGCCAAGGGGATTGAACTCAGAAACCAAGAAACAAATAGAAAGAAGAAAAGAAAATCATTAGTGAAGAACACTGGTATTTGGATTTGCCAGAGCTTAAAGAGAAAGAGAATTTTATAATAGAAGAGCAGAGTTTCTTATTATGTGAAGACATGTCATTCAGAGGATTTAATCCTGAGGTCAAGAAATTAATGCTGCAGATGAATGCCAAGAACAAAGAAGAAGAAGTTGAAGATGAAACTGGAGCTTGATGTGTCAGACAAAGAAACGCCTAGAAGATATGAGGTCTTGGTGGGGACAATTGGAAAAAAGTTTGCCAAGAAGAGAGATTGGGCCAATTGTGAAGAAGATGAAAGGGAGCATAAAACCAATTAAACCAAAAAAGATGTTCTTAAGATCCCAAGATTAAAATGGATGCTTTAAAACATGGCTCAGAGATGCCTTGTGAAAGTTAGTGGCTTATTTTGGAGCTCATCCTGATGATGTAGCTATACTTACTAGTACTATAAGGTTTATTTGTTAAAAAAAGTATAATCTTATAAACATCCTGTTTTTGAAACAGATGTGTGATGGATATTATACATCCTTTGCTTAATGGTATTCATCAAGAATGGATTTTCAGGGGCCAGCAAGTGGCATGGTGGTAAAGGCGCTGGACTCCCATGTGGCCAACCACAGTTCAAGTCTCAGACCTGGTGGCTTGCTTTCTCACTTCCTCTCTCTCTGTCTCTCTCTGATCAAACTGGAAAATAATAATGATAATAATAAATGAAGTTAAATAAAATAATTCTTTAAAAAAAAAAGAATGGATTTTCAGTCCTTCGCCTTCAAATGGACATAGATATAGCGTTGTTCTCTAAAGATGTTTCAGCCTCACTTTTTTTTTTAATACAGCCACTGACCTTGAATATACTCATGTTAATTATTGCCTATGTGTAAGTTGCTTTTGTGTTTATATTTCACTTTAAATTGTTAATCAGTTCAAGCCAATTCATATAAACACTTTGGAACTAAATGTCATAAGAATTTATCATTTGTAAAATTATGAAGAACAAACCTGCTTCTCCAGCCTTATTGTCTGTATGCCACAAGGTCATTGTCAGTTTATAGTATTATGGTTTTCATTTAAAACATTTATTCAAAAAAATTCTGCAATAAACTTGTTTAATATACCTTTTCTGACCCGGTGGCTTAAAAAAAAAAAAACTCAGGCCGGGCGCGTGTGCGTGTGTGCCCAAGATCCTGAGAGGAGAATGGAAGAGAAGTGATTGTGGCGTGGCCATCTCCCCTGGGGGGTGATTTCTTGCTTTCTATCTCTCTGTCTCACTCTGTCTGTCTGGTGAGTGCACGCGCCCTATAGCGAAAACCTCTCAAAAAAAAAATTGTTGGGGCCCAGCAGGTGGCGTGGTGGTTAAGGTGCTGGCCACTCCCACATGGCCGAGCGCAGTTCAAGTCCCGTACCTGGCGGCTTCCTTTCTCCCTTGCCCTCTCTCTTTCTCTCTCTGTGCCTCTCTCTGGTCAAATTAAAATTAAATGAATGAATAAATAAAGTTAAATAAATAATAGTTTAAAAAAATTGTTAACAAAGTTGTTGAAAATACACAGTGAGAAAAGAATAGTCTTTTCAGCAAATTGTGTTGGGGTAAGTGAATATCCACAAGCAGAAAAATAAAATTAGATTCTTATTTCAGACCATATAAAAAATCAAGTTAAAATGGATTAAATAATTAAATGTCAGACTTATAAACTTTAAAATTACCAGGAAAAAAAAGAGAGGGGAAAAGTTACATGACAGTGATCTGAACAATTATTATTATTATTATTATTATTATTATTTTGAATATGAATACCAAAACACAGATAGCAAAAGCAAAAATAGACAAACAGGATTGTGTCAAGTTGAAGAGCTTCTGAATAACAAAGGAGACAATCAATTATATAAAGATACAGTTTATGAATTGGAGAAAAATCTGCAAACTATATCTAACAAGTGTTACTATCCAAATTACATCAAGAATAAATATGACTCAAAAGCATGAAAATAGAGAAGACTTCTGCATCTGAGCTGTGAACTATTCTTTTCAGGGATTAAGACTACTGAAGATTTTCTGCTGAGACTTCATCCTCCAGACCCCAATCCAGAAACGGGAAAGGCAAAACTACAGGCCTTCTGAGAAGACTTGTGCATTTGAGCTGTGAATTATTCCTTTTGCATGCTATACATTTTTCATTTTTTGCTTTTTAAGAAAAAAAAATTTATTGTTTTTTTTCTTTGTCTTTTCTTTATACCTTTATTACTTTGCTGCTCAGCCTCCACAAACTGAGTGTTTAGACAGGTCTAAGTGAATAGTAGTTAAACATCTGAATAATATTAGAGTCAGAATATTCCTCAATTCTCACTGAATCTGCTGCACAAAGGGAGAAAAATGGAACTGTAGAGAGATTGCAGATCACCTCCTCCTGCACACCTCTGAACACTCAGATTGAACTTTGAGAAATTAGGAAGAAATATATCATCATCAGATGACCAGAAATAACCACAGAGACACAAGAAATATGAGAAACCAAGAAAATACCTCTCTCCCAAGGGAAAAGAACAACTCTTCATCCACAGACAATACAGTAGAATTCATGAAAACGTCAGATAAAGAATTTAGGATATTCACAGTGACAAAGCTAACAGAGATGGAAGAGAATAGAGACAAAGAACTTCAGAAGATAGAGAAAAGAGCCTATGAGTTTCAGGAGGTGAAGAAGTCTTGCACTATCTGAAAAAGGAAATATACACCATAAAGAAGAATCAAATGGAACGGTTAGAAATGAAAGTTGTAATACAAGAAATCAAAACCTCCCTTAAAAGTATTAAAATCAGATTAGGTCATGCAGAAGATTGAAGCTCAGATGTAGAAGATAGAATCTCTGCCTTAGAAAAATCCACAAAGACTGATTAAATAGCCCCCCAAATGAGAATAAATACTAAATACCATTAAACGTCCAAACATCTAATTGGCATCCCAGAAGATGAAGAGAATAATAAAGGCACTGATAATCTATTTCATTAAATCCTGGAAGAAAACTTTCCAGGCCTAAAGAAGCATTCAAAGATCCAAACCCAAGAAATAACAAAGGATCCCAAACAGAATCACTTAAGATCTTCTCCAATTCACATTATAGCCAGATTGGCCAAAACAATAGACAAAGATAAAATACTAAAATTGGCAAGGCCTAAAGAAGCATTCAAAGATCCAAACCCAAGAAATAACAAAGGATCCCAAACAGAATCACTTAAGATCTTCTCCAATTCACATTATAGCCAGATTGGCCAAAACAATAGACAAAGATAAAATACTAAAATTGGCAAGAGAGAAACATCGTTACTTACAAAGGATATCCCATCAGGCAAAAAGTGGACCTCTCATTGGAAACAATGCTAGCAAGGAAAGAATGGGAAAATATATTCCAAGTGTTAAGAGAGAAGCAATTTTAGCCAAGAATACTGTACCCGGCAAGATTATCTTTCATGTGGGAAGAAAAGACAAGAACATTCTCAGATAAAGAAAACTTGAAAACATTTATCAACACCAGACCAGTTCTCTTAAGTTCTGAAGGGAGTGCTATACCAGGAAAATTAAATACACACACACACAGAAATAGAAGTTCAAAAACAACCAATAAAATGGCCAACCTAATGGTAAGGACAAGTTCATAGTTGAATGTTATCTTCCAGAATTTAAACAGAAAGATTGGACCACAACAGAAGAGAGATTAATTACATGAGATTGAGCTGGTAAATAGCATTTTACAACTTTTGAGTAAAACAGTACTGATTTTCTTCTATGCTTTGTTCTCCATATTTAAGGATTTTTGTCTTTTTTTCAGCTGTCAATAGGCTCATTTACCTCTATTTGAACAGAATCCTAAACTGCTTCCTGACTTTAAGTCTTAAGCAAATTTCTCTTAAATTTTTTTTGATTTTGGTTTATTAAAGCTAAAACTGTTTTTCCTGAAATTAAAAAAAAATTAAAAATACCCATAATGGAGCTTCATACCTAAAGTCAGACTTGTGTTCACAGATATGTATATATCAGGTAAACTTGCTATTGAAAATATTTAGAATAATTAAGATATTTTGTGAATCAATAAAATTGTGGGGGGAAAAGGAATGAAAGCAACTGTAGATACCAGAGACAGTGTGGGAGGAGGGTGGGAGATGCATGGATGAAAAATAAGGAATCAAAAAAAAAAAAAGGATAAAAGATATAAGAAACAAGAAATGTATTATTAGGCCAATATACAGTGTATTCTGTATGGGAAATCACATTTTGTATGTTGTGATGGTGTTCAGTGAATGAATGTAAAATAAATAAATTTAAAATAAAAAATAATAAAAACAGAAAAACAATCATGTCAATTAAACAATGGATGAAGGACTTGAATCAACAATTTCTAAAATAAGATGTACGAATTATAAAGACATATGAAAAAAACTTGAAATTACTAATCATTAGAGAATTGTATATTAAAACCCCAATGAGATATCACCTCACATCTGCAAGAATGACTATTACCAAAAAGATTAAAGCAAACAAGTATTGGAGAGATGAAGAAAAGGGAAGCCTTGCACACACTTAGTAGGAATGCAAAATAGTACAGCTATTATGGAATACAGTATGGAAGTACCTTAAAAATAGAACTATCATTTGAACCATCAGTCCTAACTAGGTATATATTCAAAGGATATGAAGCCAGAAGGTTTGGGGGACATTTAGACTCTCATGTTCATTGCAGCATTATTCAAAATAGCCAAGATTTGGAATCAATCTACGTTTCTATCAATGAAAGACTGGATAAAGATGTAAATAATCAATGGAATACGGTTCAATCTTAGAAAAGAAGGATGTTTTGTTAATTTTGAAAACATGGATGAACCTAGAGGAATTTATGTTAAGTGAAATAAACCAGGAACAGAAAAATAAATATTGCATGTCACTTAGATACAAAGAATGTGAAAAAAAAATGATCTCATAGAAGTAAAGTTAGAAAGGGAATTTATCAGGAGTTGGAGACAAATTAAGTTGGACAGAGATTAGTCAAAGAATAAGAGAACTATTACCAAGAAATATACTTTAAAGCACAGTCACTATGGTTAATAACAGTATGCTGTAATCTCAAAAATTGATTTTAAGTGTTCTCATCATACACACACACACAGAGAAATATGTGAAATAATTCAGATGTTAATTAACTTGACTTTGCCATTCCACAGTGAGCACATATTTCAAAAAAACAGGTAGTACATGATAAAAATATATAATCTTTTTCAATTAAAATAAAGAGGTAAGGACCAGCAGATGGTGTAATGGTTACATTGCTGGTCTCCCACATAGTCAATCTTGGTTCAAGTCCCAGACTCTGTGGCTTAAAACTCATGATGGTGTGTGTGCATGCATGCTCGAAATTCTAAGAGGAGACTGGAGGAGAGGAGATTACAGTTTTGCCATCCCCCCCAGGGTGTGATTTCTCACTTTCTGTCTCTCTGTCCAGCAAGTGCACTTGTTCTATAGTAAAAATGTATCTTAATTAAAAATAGAAGTAAATAGAGCTAACAAAAAGTTAAAAAACCAAAAGTATATAGGAAATTCTTTTCACCAGCTTTTTGTTTACAAATTTGACAACTTGGATAACATGAACAAATTGCTACAGAGATACATTAACCAAAAAGACTGACTTAGAAAGTGTAAAAAGTCTAAATTAATCCCATCGAAGCAAAAAAAAAATTCAAGACAGTATGCCATTTTAAAAGAATTTAAAAAAGACTAAGATAACTTTACCAGTGAATCCTATTGAATGACTGAAGAAATACTTTCAAATTTTCATAAATTTTTTTCAGCAAATGAAGAGAGAAAAAGCCTGAACTCATTCAATGACTGAAAAATGTAAAAACATCTCTTCTAACCTGAAATGCATTTTTTTTTTTTTACCAGTGACTAAGAAGAGTGATGAAAAGTTGTCTAACATATGCTCAACATTAGATCACTGAGAACTGGTCTCTTGAAATATCACTGGATACAATGGATCTTCTCTCCACCATAAAGTTTTAACAAACATCCAGTTATTCTTATAACTGCTGAAATTGATTCAGGTAAAGGGTACTTTGAGGCCTAACAGCAAAGCAAGTCAGTAGAGAAGAAAATGGCCTCCAGTTTTCCTAAATCTCAGCTGCTAGGGCTTCTTCTGGAGTCTTACCTGCAGCATCTCCATTGCTGAACTCTCCAGACGATGCTCCAGATCTGAGATGAGATCACTCACTAACTGACTCTGCTGGGCCACCTCATCTTCAGATTCTGCCAAGATTTGCAGAACATCTCTCTCTTCTTTCTCCAACTTCTGCAGCATCATCTGCTCCTGACTATCCAGTATGTCTCTCAGTCTTGTAAATTCTGCCTGGACATTTTGTCTGTCAACTTGTAATTGATTCTTTAAGGATAAAAAAGAAAGAGGCATTCAGTCTGTCAGTCAGAAGCTAGGAATCAGAAAAAAAAATTCCATTTTCTTTGGAGATTTCTCATGGAAAAAAGATTGAGTAGGTGAGCAATTCTTAGGGAAGTTGATTTTTCCCATTATCTTTCCATGATATTCTAAAACAGTGACTTTAAATTGGTACTACCAAGGCCCACCCTAAACCAAACTAGGACACCTAGATGTGACTTAGCATTCACTCAGTTATACAGAGCACTCATTCCTGCCTGCACTATATGCATTCCAACCAGAAGCCCTCTGCTGAAGGTTGAACAATAAGGATAGTACTATCAGTCCTTGGCAAATGGCAGCCTTACATAGGGTAATAGACGCAGGAAGGACCACAGAACAGAACACAGGATTCACAGGCCATCTTCACCAGAAGGGCCCTCATCTATTTACTTACTTCCAAATGCCATTGCTCATCTGTGACCTATTAATCCTCCATTCCCCACACCCATCAGGGAAAGTAAAAAAGGAATAATTAATTGACTTCTGGATTTTTCAACTGCCAGAGGATAAAAAGGGAGAGAATGCTTTCTCAAAACCCTGTCCGGCTTTTCAGCTAACTCCCTCAAAGGGTCTCCTCCTGCCTTCCAGGAAGTTCTCTCTTCCTGGATGTCAGCTTTCCACTCCTCAGTTTCCTGATGCTTCTCCATTAACTTCTTCAGAGCTGCCTGGATCTTCTCCTGGAATAAAGGAATCACATAAAAATCAACTATAGGCTTTCTTACAACCTGGATTAAATATAAACATAGAAGAAATAAATTTCATATTACAGGAGAATAGAGCCTCAGAAATCATGTGAATAGCTGTTAGAACATGTGACTTAGGAAAAAAAAACTGATATGGTGAATATTTTCTGTAAGTTTCAAGTAACATAATTCACCATCAGAGTATACTGATCATTTTTGTTCTGGAAAAAGAACCCAATCCTGCAACAACAACGAAGAATTTAAATCTCAATACTCCCCAGTTATCACCTGCTGAAAGTATAATCAGAGCTTGTCTAGGGCACCAGCTCTCTACCCATTTAACTCAAAGTACAAAAAATGCACTTCTATGTGAGAAGTTGTACTCTTTGGCTTCTTCTCTTGTAACTTAGTGGAGTGCAGAAAATGTCCTTTAAGCCTTAGAAGGTAAGCATAGGATATAGAGAAATCATAGACCTCAGGACTATGACAAGAAGATAATTAAAGTTCAATGCAAAGTGGAGATTTCCCAGAAGGTTCTATCTTCTGCCCTGTCTTCCCTCCATCCTGGTTTCTTACTTGGTACTCTTGGGCAACTTCCTCTATGAGGAATGTCTGGTGACCACGGTGCTCCTGAGATCGCTCACAAAGCAAACAAATGGCCTTCCCATCCTCCTTACAGAAGAGCAGGAGTTTCTCTCCATGGCGTGCACAGTGATGTACTCTCTGCTCCTCCTCCAGGCTCACGTTGGCCTTTCTGAGCCTCTCTGCTATGTTGGCCAGATGGCGATTAGTCCGCAGGCTCCCAGGCTGGTAACTGACTCTGCACATGGGGCAGCAGTTCTCCCCTTCTTGACCCACAGTGGATTTGGTTTGGTTTTCAATGAGGCAGGACTGGCAGAAGCTGTGTCCACACTCTAGGCTCTGGGGTTCTGTTAGGAGCTCCAGGCAGATGGGGCAGGTCACCTCCTCCTTTACATCCACCAGGATTGCCAAAGCCATACCAGCTGCTCTACTGCTCCTGACTGGCTTGACTTTGGAGGTTCCTCTTGGTCTCCAATCTTTGTAAAAGGTTAAGAGGGGACAGATTTAAAAAGTTGGGAATAGAAATACTGATCCTGTAGAAATAAAAGATGGGCCAAAGTCAAAATTATAAAGGGCAAAAAGAGAAGGGAAAGAAACAGTAAAAGGAATCTGATGATCTGATAAAGAGGAATTTTCATAATAATTTTAAATACTCTACACCCAGTTCATGTTACAGGACAAATTCCATGCTTATGTGGGTAATGATTGTTACTTTCGATGATTTTCACTAAATAGTGAAACTGTTCAAACTGAGATCTTTTCTACCATAATTTTATGACTCACTATCTATTCTGCCTTTTATTTCTGAGGCCCAAACCACATTCATTATGTAGAAGGCACCAAATCACTTAATTCTCAAGGGGTTTACAGATGCTCTTCTCTCAGCATGTAATTTCCCCCAATATTAATGTGAATTCTTTAAAAACTCTCCTTACATGTTTTCTTGTTGGCACAGTTCTTCTCTGACTACCTCATCTATAGTGTAATCAATCCCATCCTTTTCTGTGCACCTGCAATTATTTTTCTCATCACCACACAAAAAATGACAATGTTTGTGTGTGCATGGAAGAGCG